AGAGTTAAACATAAGACCTAAAACCATTAAAACACTAGAAGAAAACCTAGGCAATACCATTCAGGATATAGTCATGGGCAAAGTCTTCATGACTAAAGTACTGAAAGCAATTGCAACAAAAGCCAAAATTGACAAATGGGATCTAATTAAACTAAAGAGCTTCTGCAGAGCAAAAGAAACTATCCTCAGCGTGAACAGGCAACCTACAGAATGGGAGAAAAGTTTTGCAGTCTTTCCATCTAACAAAGGGCTATTATCCAGAATCTACAAGGAACTTAGACAAATTCACAAGAAAAAAAAAACAAACAACCCCATCAAAAAGTGGACAAAGGATATGAACAGACACTTCTCAAAAGAAGACATTTATGTGACCAACAAACATATGAAAAAAAGCTAATCATCACTGGTCATTAGAGAAATGCAAATCAAAACCACAATGAGACACCATATTTAACCTTGTTAGAATGGCAATCATTAAAAAATCAGGAAACAACAATTGCTGGAGAGGATGTGGAGAAATAGGAACGCTTTTACACTGTTGGTGGGAGTGTAAATTAGTTCAACCATTGTGGAAGACAGTGCGGCAATTCCTCAAGGATCTAGAACCAGAAATACCATTTGACCCAGCCATCCCATTACTGGGTATATACCCAAAGGATTATAAATCATTCTACTATGAAGATACATGCACACATATGTTTATTGTACTACCATTCACAATAGCAAAGACTTGGAACCAACCCAAATGCCCATCAATGATAGACTGGATAAAGAAAATGTGGCACATATATACCATGGAATACTATGCAGCCATAAAAAAGGATGACTTCGTGTCCTTTGCAAGGGCATGGATGAAGTTGGAAACATAATTTTCAGCAAACTAAAACAGGAACAGAAAACCAAACACCACATGATCTCACTCATAAGTGGGAGTTGAACAATGAGAACACATGGACACATGGAGGGGAACATCACACACTGGGGTCTGTTGGGGGTGGGGGGCTAGGGGAGGGATAACATTAGGAGAAATGCCTAATGTAGATGATGGGTTGATGGGTGCAACAAACCACCATGACACATGTATACCTATGTAACAAACCTTCACGTTCTGCACACGTATCCCAGAACTTAAAATATAATAAAAAAAAAGAATAAAAGGTAGAACTTATGGGCTGCAATATGTCCCCCTTAAAAGAGTAATAAATTCTTACTCTCAGTAAATGTGGCCTTATCTGAAAACAGGGGCTTTGAAGTGATCAAGTTAAGATGAAGTCATTAAGATTTAGCCCCTAAACCAATGTGACTGGTGTCTTTATGGAAAGAGGAAATCTGGACACAGACACAGGGAGGACGCCATGTGAAGGTGACAGCAGAGACCAGGGTGATCCTTCCGCACACCAAAGACCACCAAAGGTTGCCAGCAAACCACCAGAAGGCGGAAGAGAGGCTGGAAACAGAGTCCCCCTCACAGCCTCAGAAGGAATCAACACTGCCAACACCTCTGTCTCGGACTTCCAGCCTCCAGAACTGCTTGACAACACGTTTCTGTTGTTTAAGCCCCTAGTCTATGTGACTGTGATGTGGAATCCTAGCAAACCGATACAGGGAGTCTTGGATTCTGTCCAGGGAAGACATCCAGCAGGATGGGAGGGAAGGGCCTTCTCCACTTACAGAGGGGCTTCCTTGACCCCTGTGCAGGTGCATGAGGGGTCAGACAGGCTTTGTGAACGTCGTTGGCTCAGCGGCGCTCAGACAAGGGAGAGCAGTAGCTAAGTCGGGAAAGGTGGCCAGAAGTGACAGCACATTCTGCGTCGGATGAGTCTAGGAGGCAATGGGGGGCCTGCCTGGGTTTGTAAGCAGGGACTAGAGAAGATGAAAGGGAAAGCTGGATATCTCATCCGGCAAGGATGTAGAACCCTCTTCAAGCTCTTAGAGCAGCCACGAATGTGGAGGGCAGGTGCGGGAACTTGTAATGTTCAAGAATGTGGCGGGCAGGTGTGGGGCAGGTGTGAGTGCTGTAAGCCCAGAAAACAAGCCCTTCCACATCAACACTGCTTGTGTAATAATCCAAGTGGTTTTATCTGGACCTTCCCACTCCCAGCTTGGGGCAGCTGGTCTGCCCCTGGGTCCCCACAGTGCCCTGCCATTGGCTTGGGGACCCAGCTGGGTCTGTTCTTTCTGCCAGCCATGGGGGTGTCGGGTGGGAGAAGGACCCTGCTGCCACTTGACCCTTACAAAGTCCAGTGTGGCCTGGTGTCTTCTGCAGGTCCCAGGCTGTGGGACTCACTGTTCCCTGTTAGCCAGGGTCTGGCTGGAGGTGATCCAGCCCGGGTTTCATTGGGGATCTGTGGCACCTGCCCTGGAAGTGTCCTTTGTCATGACGGCCTGCACCCCCAGCAGTCGTGGGTGGCTCCATCGCTGTGCTGCTGGCGTGGTTTTCCCTCAGGAAGGACACCTGGATGCATGTTGATGCAGTGGCATTTATCAGACTCTGCAATAGTCCTTACTTAGATGTTCATTTCATTGCAGTCACTTGGCCCAGTTGTAAATACACCCCCGATACTGCCAACACTAGCTTGTAGGTGAACGAGAAAGGGCAGATGAGGAACCTGAGCACTCAGTACCCACAGGGGACATTCACCAAGCTCCTCAGTGCTCCCACCAAGTGACTGGGAAAGGAAGCCCCTGGGAGCCCATTGGACTGAAAACCTAGAGGCACTTGTCTTATGGCAGTGGATTCTTCTCCTCCTTTCTGTTTAGTGTTAGATTTTTTTTTTTTTACCCTTTTTGTTTGTTTGTTTGTTTTGTTTGTTTTTCCATGTCTTCTCTACTGGCAATTGAGGAGTGCCACAAAACAAGAGACTCTCCGTTCAGTGAAAGTCCTGGAGTATTTTGTAACTGGGGTGGTTGTTTAGATATTGATGCTGGGAAAAGAGAGGCGGTTGTCCTCGGAAGTTGGAACAGCTGAAATATTATTATCAGGTCAATGTGCTTCCTTCCTGGGTATGGCGATAGTCAGAGCAGATCCTCCACTTTCTTCATGAAAATCCAGGCCTGTGCCTCAAATACCTCCTGAGGCTTACTGGAGAGAGAGGAATTAAAGTAAGTCGGAGTTCTCCAAAGGCTTCCCTGCGACAACCAGAGGACTCATTTTCTTCGTAGATTTTAGGGCAAAATGTAGACTGCTTAGTATGGATCCTTTGAATTTCTGGCATGGTCACATGTGCGTGTGCGTGTGTGTGTGTGTGTGTGTGTGTGTTTAACAAGGCTACTTAAAAAGCTATCTCCCTTACTCTGCATGATTGCCTTGTGTCTGTGGTGAACTTCTAGGAAATGTAAATTTGCTTTTCTTTTTTTTTTTTCCTTTTGTGCATGAGAAAGTGGCAACTTTGCAAAAACAAGCCAGGCATCTGTTCACTTTTTGTAGAAACTGAGAAACAATATTGTGATTTTTTTTTTAAAAGAGAGAAACTCCCAGCTCCTATAACAATTTTTGTTGAAGAAATATTCATGTTAGAATGACTAGCCATTATTACGCACTTATAAGGTATAACTGTGTGGTGCTAGACATTAAAAATATAACAGTTTTCCCTAAAAGGAACATTTATTTCCAGGAGCAGGAAAACCTAGCAGCAGGGTTTTATGGTTCCACGGCGCATGTACAGCGTACAGTAAGTGCTACAGAAACATTAGCGCACAAGTGCCCATTAGCCTCGCACAGAAGAATCCAGGGCCCATTACTCAGACTTCTAAAGGCTCAATATTGGATCACTGTTATCAAACTAAGATTAGCTAAAAATTTACCTGGTACTGGCCGGGCACAGTGGCTCACACCTGTCATCCCAGCATTTTGGGAGGCCGAGGCGGGCGGATCACGAAGTCAGGAGATCAATACCATAAAAATACAAAAAAAATTAGCCGGGCGAGGTGACGGCGCCTGTGGTACCAGCTACTCAGGAGGTTGAGGCAGGAGAATGGCAGGAACCCGGGAGGCGGAGCTTGCAGTGAGCCGAGATCGCGCCACTGCACTCCAGCTTGGGCAACAGAGCAAGATTCTGTCTCAAAAATAAAATAAAATAAAATAAAATAAAATAAAATAAAATAAATTTGCCTGGTACTTCCTTAGAGATGACCTCATCAATTTAATACAAATTTGGTAGAAGGGGTATTTTGTTATCCCGATTGCCAATTTTGACTTTTACAGGAAATGCAGACTTTGAAATCTTAAATATGGGCATGCCTTTTTTTTTTTTTTTTTTTTTTTTGCCTTCTTTAGATACTTTGGGGGTTTTAAGATTTACTCAAGCTAATGACCCACTTCTACTCACAGCATTCACTTGCATTACACAATTAGGCAACATTCACCAAACATTCATCAAACAATACGGAATCTGGACAAGAGGGGAGAGCCACGTCTGGATAAAATTATCAGCTGGATTTAGGGATGAGAACCCGGCTCATTGCTTTCTCAGTTTTACATTATAAAACCAGCCAGGCCCCTAAAGTGATCATCGTAAGCACGGGCTTATTATTGAAGAGGCCACGGTACTTCAGAATTTGCTTGAGGATCCATGTATAAATAAATCACACCCCAAGAGTCCTTTCTCATGGCGCTTTGCAACCATAATTAGGCAAGCTGTTTCTGCAGTGGCCTCTAGTAATTCACTTGTAAAGAAATTTTTCTCAAATTTTTATACTTATTGAATTATGTGCATTTTATTTCAAAATAAATATATTCATTCATTCATTGTTTTCATCAATCTTTCAGTCTGCAAATGTCCACAAAAGGCTTGCAAGCAGCATGAAGTAGAAGATAGATGGACACAGAAACTAATTAATTTCACCACAGTGTGGATAAAGCCGCAACCGAGGTGGATGCAAAGCAGCTGGGAGAGATTCAATCAGCCTGGGAGGGCAGGAGCAACCCAGGAAGGCTTCCAGGGAAGGCCGTGATTAAACTGAGTATTAAAGGTTAAGAATGAACGTATTCAGATCGTCACTGAAGAAAGAAGGAGAGCTATTCTTAATCGGCAAGTGTGTTTGGAGAAATCAATAGTCTGAGATAAAGGAGACAGCACGCTGTTGCAGAAGAATCGTGGTCGATGCCGTCAAATAAATGTACGTTCTGCAGCAAGGTGCTGCTGGGTCTGGCCGAGTGAGTCCGGTCTTCTTCTCTGTCAAACAGGGAATAATATCCCCAAATCACAGGGCGTGGCAGAGGAGGAAATCGAAGTGAGTATAGAAGGGCCTGTTTAGTGCCACATGCAATTATCAAAGGGTAGCAACTGACTTTCTGTGGGATGTACCATATAAATCCATAGTCTTGCTTTTCTTTCCATTCATTTCTCCAATCTTCCTAATACTTCCTGAACTTTTTAAATAAAAAGTTAACTTCTAAACCTCACCTGTTACACTGACTATGCACTTGGATGCCTTTGGAGATGGAAAAAAATGAGTAGGGGTGGGAAGGTAAATATTACAATCACATTAGAGGGAATGGCCATTTGCCAGTGGCGAGGCTCCACCTTTCCCTCAAAACATGCAGCTTTCACGCTCCTTGAAGGGAGAATGCTGAATGTTAGTGCTAGCTACCTTTCAAATATGCATTACTATCACATTTTAAAACATTTTTGACACTGAGGTGTTCTTGAGTAATATTCCAACATAATCTAGTATTCAATATTTAAGGACAAATATTAAGAATTTGTGTTAAATTTTTAAAAACTCAGAAAATCTGTGTTTAAGAGCATATTACATCAGAGTAAAGGATCAATTATGAGTGTTCAGAGCCAGTGATACATCACATGGAATTGTTCACAAATTTATTATTTTTTAAAACCTTTTTTTATGAGAGACTCTCACTCTGTTGCCCAGGCTGGAGTGCAGTGGTGTGATCTTGGCTCACTGTAACCTCTGCCTCCTGGATTCAAGTGATTCTCATGCCTCAGCCTCCTGAGTAGCTGGGATTACAAGTGTGCACCATCACACCCAGATAATTTTTATATTTTTAATAGAGAAGGGGTTTCACCATGTTGGCCACACTGGTCTTGAACTCCTGGCCTCAAGTGACTCACCTGCCTCATCCTCCCAAAGTGCTGGGATTACATGTGTGAGCCAAGATGCCCATCCCTGTGGTTCACAAATGTAAATAAGAAGAATATTTTTGCTGTATTCTTTTAAATGCATATCTCTTAGTCTATAGTATGTTCTCCCATGGGAGTTCTCTCTAAGTCTCATGCCCTCAGAGTGTGGCTCAGAGGCCTTGGCAGTTGAAAATCTTTCTGCTGATACGAGCGTCCAACCCTTATTTTGAAATATGTCTTCTCAAGCAAGTGTACCTTTCCCCTCCCAGAAGCACATGCTAGAGCATGTTACGGGGGCTGGTACAAATCGGCATTTGTAAACTGAGACTTTCAGAGTCTCCACGTGCCAGAGAATCCTTTCTAGGTCTCAGCACCAAGGGGTGGTGGCTGCTACTGGTGACCTTGTCGCTTGGTTCTCTTCAACAGTGGCCCAGGTACTTCTCCTTTAGGTTAAGTGTTGAGTTGTGACTTTGTATTCTTGCCTCCCCACTTCTCTCCCACTCTTGTCACTTCAATGCCTAGATGTGATAAATATGTGTTAGATCGATTAGTTAATGCAAAACGAATGAATGCCGAAGACTTGCAATGTACAGTACATAGAGTTACCCAGTTGGTGTCTTAGCAGCTGAGGTGATTCAGGGACAGGACTTTTCAATATGTATTATTAAGGGGCTTCCAACATCTCCCTGATGTTTCCTTACAAGACTTGTGAGGTAGTTTAGCCAGTTTCAAAACCTTATGCCACAATTTCTCAAGCATGTAAATGCATTTCTATTCATTAGAAAAAAGGGTAGGAGATTGGATCAAGTAGCAAGTTTGAACACATGATTTTATGGTACTATGGAGAGTTGGACTTTTCTTAAATCATCATCTATTATCAAAAGGAAGTGCTTGCAGAATTCCAGATCCAGGGAGCAGGACTCTATCTCCGGTGCAGACTGGTGGCTGGTCCTCGCCGGTGCTGGACGTCTCCCAAGAGTCCCTGGACGGCTCTCACTTCTGTGTCCATGGTAACCTTGCGAAAACATCCCTAATTCTGTCCACCTGTAGAGCTGGCCGCCTGTCTCCCCATTGTCAACAGATCATTTTGGCTATGTCACAGTACTTGGAAAGCATAAGGTGCAATTTCTATCCACCTATTTTCCCAAAGATGGAAAACTTATTTTCCCTTCGGGCTTCCTTTGCTCTTGCAGTGGAAACAGCGTCTCTCCTCCCGGCTGGGGCTAATTCTTCTATCTGGGTCCAGGCTCCACCCTTCCTGACACCTTTGTAGACTCACTTTTATCTTCTTTTTCTAAAATCTTCAACCTTTCCCTGCATACTGGTTCCTTCCTGCCATTAAGCACATATCTCAAGTGTCAGCAAACATGAAAGAAAAAAACTGAAACCTCAAAGTCCCCAGAACACATTCCCCTCTAGTCACCACATTCTTTCTCGTCGGCTTCCCAGACGTGTTTACACACTCTGCTCTTCCTTCCCCACCTGACATCTCACGTCTATCCCCGCCCGGAGACACTCTTGCCAAAGTGTTGGAGCTTTCTCTACGCGTCCAAATCCAAAGGGTACTTCAAAATCCTTATTGTTCTTGGCTGCTGTGAACATTCGGCCGGGTGTTTCGACTCTTCCTTTAGACTATGGCCTGCTTATCTGGGGCCTTCTTCTCAGATCACTTTATTGCTTTTTTGTTTTCTGCTCAGTCTTTACATGGAGATCTCCTTACCATTCTGCTCCTGGCTTTTCTTCTCCCTCGCAATTCGGCTTTACTCCTAGCACGCTTCCCCACAACGTCCTCCCAGCCCGGACCTCTCTTCCTGGGTTCCACGTGCATGGTTCTACTTGCCTGCTCACCTTCTCCTCTCAAAGGCATCCCCAAACTCAACACAGCCCAATTTGAACACATTAGCAACTTCTCTGTCCCCTGAAAAACCTGCCTTTTTTTTATCATCCTCTGTCTCCCTAAATGGCACCACTCCTCCCCTGGTGCCCAAGGCAGGGAGGAGACCTAGGTGTCATGAAGACAGCCATGGAAGCGAGCTCACCACTCCCATCTCACTCCCCCACAGAAGGTGACTGCTGCTGGGAGCCGAGTAGCTGCCAGCAATCCCTGGCTGCTCCCAGCAATGTCCATGCCCCGTGGTATTCCTCTGATGGGCTTCTTTTTGCTCCAGGACGCCCTGCAGCCTGGCCGAGACTGGCTGAGAAATGCTGCTGTTGGAAGCTCTCCAACCCAGCCTCCTTCCATCCTCTGCTTCTGCAGACAGCAGAGCCTCCGGCACGTGTGAAGGCTCTCCTGCCGGCTCCCACTCCTGCTTTCCTTTATTTCTCGACATCTTTGTGCCACCCCTCTTGTTCAGGTTGCAGGCAGATCCTCTCTCCAGACCTTTGAGACCCCCTCTTGCTTTGCTACCTACATTGCCTGTGCTGTACAGTGACCTTTCCAATGCAAATCTGACCAAGCCATGCTCCAGCTTCAGACCCTTAAAAACTCCCCACGACCCTCAGTCCAGACTCCTTCATTAGATTTATAGGAGCCTTCAGGCCTTTTCTGTGTGGCTTCCATTCAGCTTCCCGGCTTTGTCTCTGTAGGTCAGGCTTGCTGCCACATGGTGAACTTGTTCTAGTTACTCAGAAGCTGAGGATAGGTATTTCCCATTCTCTTTGTCTACAGACTGGCTAGCATCTACTGCAAACTTGCCCCTCAAGTCTTACCTTACTTGTCCATTTCTCCAAAATGCTTCCATCCATGCCACGCACCCTGCCTGCATTCCACTGGGCTTGGTGCTCTTGTTCGGGCTTTCTGTAGAACACTGCACTTGATTTTTTGTCTCTTCACTTCTCAGGTTGAATTACATCACTCACTCAATTGTCCATCTCCTTTAACAAATTAAGGACTGAGAGGCACTGACCCGATGCTTCCCTTGCTCATCAGTGTATTTTGTGCATCTCACACAAACCTGGCTCCAAGGATATGTGTTATGTAAATGAACAAATGAGGGAAAAAATAAACGTCTGCTTAAATGGATGGAAAAGTGATTAAAGGACTCATTTCTCTGGAGAACCCACGAAGGAGGACAGATGAAGCTTTAAGGACATGGAGAAGCAACATGCTGCAAATCTACTTTTTGGTGGAGTAGATGATTCTGTGGCCAAGTATACTCGAGGCCTAAGAGTAGACAAAGAAACAAAAGTGTTTCTCCTTCCCGTCCGGACCTCTAAAACACAGAACCTTTCACTCAGGGAGACTCTCATTCACTGGGCTGTGACTTGAAAGCACACATTATCACCGAGATAGCTCTAACACGCATACGTTTTTTTAATTTCTCAGGAGAGAACGATCCCAATTGCAGTTTATCTGTGGTTCATCTGGCTTCATCTCACACCACCTCTGTTGACATGGGAGGGCTGCCGGCCCACATCCGGGAAGTGTTATGAAACCACCGGGGTTCCTCCCCTCCTTGCTCCAGGGAAGCCTGAGAGGGACCCTGCAGATTGCATTTGGAATCCATCTGCCAGGTAATGCTTTCTAGTGTTTGCTAAGCAGTAGCTGCAAGGCGGGGAGCTTTGCTAGACAGGGCTCCTCGTTTTAGGCTGGCTTGTCAGTTACAGTAAATCAAGTGAAGGTGGAGCATAAATACAGGCTTTCTTTCCCAGATCCCAACACGGCCTGGTTGCACAAGCCAAAACAAGATGAGGAATTTTTCTCCTTCCTCTCTGACAAGGCAAAACTCCTCTGGAGGTTAGACCCTTGGTATGTGCCCACACCCAAAGAAGCCCATTCTTTATGTGAATTTATGTGAATTTTCCTGCCTTCTCAAATGTGAGCGATTTTGGCAAAATATTGCGTTTCACCTCTATCACTCTCCTATCATTGTCAGTATAACAGAAAGCGTTGTCTTGTTTCTCTAACAGACTTCTCTATTTTCGTTGTCAAATAGAAGCAAACATACTCTCGAATGTAATGGCACATTATTCAAAATAAAACTAATAATAAATAATTTTAAGTTGTATTTGTCATGGTACCTTTCATGAAGCTCTTGATATTTTTGCTTCATTTGGTGGAAGTTTATGGAGTTCCTTCTATAATATGTGCCAGGTCTCATGCCAAGGGGTTTCTCTGTGCTCATGGCCAACTTGGAATGGGGGTGTTATTAAGTGCAGGATGCAGATGAGACAATTGGGCCTCCGTGACCTGACTCCCAGTGTAAGCCTCCTAAAACAGCCTCCCAGAATCCTCTCTCATCCCACACCATGTCTTCCTTATGAGACCTGCCTAAGCAGCTCCGTGCCCTGGGTACCTGTTCAATATACTGGGTCTCTTGGTCTCTTTTGTATCCTCTTCAACTGTCAGGTTATATTTTTTCTCAAAGCTTCATCTTGGCTCAGGCAGAAGCGATCAGGCTTTCTCAGGAAATCTCCCACAGTCTCCAGGAGAGAAGCTGAGGGTGGAGGCCAGAGATTTGTAAGAGGAGGGGATTGAAAGGTAGCAGGCTATAGGACTGTATTGCCAGTGCATTGGGGCATTCTGATTTGTTGCTTGCAGGATTCTTGTGGCCAAGGCCTGAGTGCTTCCAGAAAGTGCAGTGTGCCCCCTACCTGCATCAGCATCACCTGGCTGCTGTTACAAATCAGATTTCTGGTACCAAGACCTCTTGGTGAAGACAGGGAGAGGCCTAGGCCTCACCTGCAGCCCAGGTGCCTGTCCAGTCCCTGCCCTGCCACCCTAGTAGTAAAGCGTGCAGGCAGGTGAGACAGGCGTGTCCTAGTTTGTGACCTGGGTTAGGATTGCCCTCTACTCCTAGTCCTCTCTTCTCATAAATCTCTGGCCTCCACTCTCAGCCTCTGTCCTAGACGCCGTGAGAGATTTCCTGAGACAGGATTATCACTGCTGCCAGAGCCCAAGAAGATGGATGTTTTGGGGAAAGAAGGAAAGAAGGAAGGAAGGAACGGAAGGAAGGAAAGGAAAGAAGGAAGAAGGAAGGAAGGAACCGAGGAAGGTGAAGGAGGAAGAAGAGAAAGAAAGGAAAAGAAACGAAAAAGAAAGAAAGAAAGAAAGAAAGAAAGAAGAAAAAGAAAGAGAGAGAAAAGGAAGGAAGGAAGGAAGAAGAAGAAGAAAGAAAAGAAAGAAAAAAAGAAAGAAAGAGAAAGAAAGGAAAGAAGAAAGAAAGAAAGAAAGAAAGAAAAAGAGAAAGAAGAAGGAAGGAAGGAAGAAAGAAAGAAAGAAAGAAAGAAAGAAAAAAAAAAGAAGAAAGAAAGGAAGGAAGAGAGGAAGGAAGAAGGAGGGAGGAGGGAGGGAGGGAGAGAAAAAAAGGGAAGGGAAGGGAAGGGAGAAGAAAACATGATGCTTGAAGAGCAGGATGCAAAAGAAACCGTGTGGGCTTGTGAGAGGCAGAGGTGCTCCTCTGAAACCTGTGAGGAAATCTGAGCTGGAGGGAAGAGAAGCCTCAGCCATGGAGGGAGAAGGTACCCCAGGGGTCTCTCACGGTGGCCCCAGGGTGAGGAGAGCCACTGAAGGAGATTCACCCGAGACACCAAATCACCAAGGAGGACTGTGGCCATCAGAGGCACTGGGAAGGGAAGCCTGAGAGGGACCATGCAGTTTGCATTGCATAGTTTCAAGGTAGAGGAGCAGCCTGGATTCTGGGGTTACAGAGCTGTGGGCTTCATGGGCAGGAGCACCTTGGCTTGAAGCCACTTCTGCATGTGCTATCCTCCTATCCTGGGCACTTCCACAGACCTTTCCAAGCCTAAGTTTTCACATCCATGATATTCAGATCACATTTGTTCCTACTCTAAGGTTAGAGTGAGGATTAAAACAGGAAATGCTGGGAGGGACTTGGCAGAGTGCTGGGCCCTAACACATCATAGGCCATTACAGAACATTGGCTGGGCTGTTTGTTGTCAGCAAGGGGGTTGTTTCGGACCCAGAGAGCTGCCTGGACGACTTGATGGGCTCAGAAACCAGTCTGTAATAGAGGCGGAGTAAAGTGATGGCTAAGGGAAGGAATAAAGCATAGCCTCGGTGCTCACATTATGGATGGTATTTTCAGGCTAATTTGCTTTGTATGCTGGGGAGTTGGATGACCTCTACACGAGCCTTTCATCAGAGAGAGTTTCTGCATTTTGAACGCTGTTCTAGAGTCAGTTAGAGACAATTCCTGCAAAATAACTTATCTAAAAGCTCTTTCGAACTCCTCCCGGGGCAGCCTCACTATGCTCTCACCAGAATGCTAGATGTGAGTGCGCATTCGGTAAGTACTGGTTGGGCCTGAAACATCATCTTGTGGGATTCTGGAGACACCAAAATCCAAAAGACAATTTAAAGAGAAAAATGCCTTTGCTACCTTCAATGGTTTGAAGTCTTTGCCACCCTCAATGTTCTTGGCAACCCTACTTGCTTCAAGAGGAAAACAAATAACCAAAATAAACCCACATGCTAGGGGAAGGAGACACTGTCAGATAAATGTGTCTAATGGATCATAGGAAAGACCCTTTGGATGCGTGTGGCTTTGCTTTGTTGGTTTCAAATCTCAGCCATTTGCTGGCTGTGTGATTTTGAGCAAGTGCCCTGCACTTCCTGACCTTCATGTGTACAATAAGACTGAACATACCCTCACTTACACTTTCAATCTGCAGATCAAACGGAAGGTTCAGTCCCCCTCCTCCCCATCTAGTAAACACTCCAGGGCTTGTGGGTTTTCTTTTGCTTTTCTCCTTTCTTCTCCCCTTTCCTTGAAGATTGATCAGGAGAAAGGATTTTGTTTTCCAGAAAGGGTTTCAATTGAATTCTGAGCCCACCTCACCTAAGGCTAGCCTTAAAGTTATTTAAATGCAGAAAATTAACATATTTTTTTGATTAACTTAACCAACTTTTATAACATACCTGAAAAAAAAAAGACCCAATACAAAGGGCCAGCTTTGAAGGCATCTTCTGAATGCCAGTGAATGTGCTCTTGTTGCATCTGTGAGAGAAGTTCAAAGAAATGAGTATTTTTTATGGAAAGTGACCTGACCTAGCCTATTTAAAGTTCAAAAGCTAAGTGTGTCAGGAGGACAGATTGCAGGGGCTGTCAGAATGCCTGGGCAGCCGCAACTCCTCGGGGAAGCGCACCTCAGGTGGTTCAGGGATTGGAAGGGAGGGGGAATTGTGTTTGGGGCAGGCAGACAGGTGAGCTGTGTAAATTCCAAAGCTTATCGTGGGCTCTAAGGCACAGGTTCTCAGCCTTGTGGATTTCAGAGCAGAAAAATGTGCCAAAGAAGCTGGAGGACAGACATAAAATTGACAACTCCACCTTTTGCCAAATAAGAGAATTAAGAAACAAGCTGCCACCTTTTCATAAAAGAAAAAAGTTTCAATATTGAAAAGCAGAAGGTTATAATCTTGAAGGACTGGAATTTAAATGGGCCACAGTCACTTTGGGAAAAACTCACTCGATTGTTTCTTGCATTTCATTGAACCCCATATCACCTCCACCATGCGTGACAGTGCCTGGAACCACAGTGCTTTCCTCTGCTTTTCTCGTTCAGCTATTCTTGGAAGGGCAGCCAGGCTTGGCCCAGTGGACCCTAATAACAGCTTCTTGGTTTGGGGATCCCCAGTTCCATCTCCTGTTCCTCTCTCTGCTCTGCTTCAATACTCTTGGAGAAGACAGAATGACTGTCTCAGCATGTCCTGGGCTGAAGGTTTTCCCAGAGACTCTAGGTGCTGATGCCAAGACAGGGTTACCTTCAAATTTCTCATTTTTAGATAAAGCCCTGAAAATCAGAGGTGGGATGATTTGCTGGAGACAGCACTGCCCTAGATGGCCAGATGTGGAATCAAAAACACAGTCTCCATACACTTGGTTTGATATTTTGTCCATCCTAGCAGCTATACTTTCCACGGATGTTTTTCAGTGTCATTGATGAGCCAGCTATCATGAGATGGCCACACGCATCAGCAACTCACTTATTTCTAAAATGAACTCACACTCAAGTTCACATCAACAGTTAAGCCCTACATCCAGATAAATGTTTTTGAAAAGCTTACCCTTCTTCATCTGAGTATATCCTGGTTTTTATTATTAACGTTAGAGGTTTCAAGGCTTTTCTTAGACACCCCATCACCTGGCAGTGGAATGTGCTGGAGCAAAGCAGTATGGTCATTGGAATTGGACCCACTTTTAATGTATTACCTTTAACCTCAAATGGGCACTGATAGTGACTCAGCGTTTGCCAGGGCCATTCACTCTCCTCTGCTAGACAACTATTTCATCCCCCTCCCGCAGATTTGAACATCTCCCTCTAACCTCCATATCAGCATCAAACGATTCCATTTCCTAGTTGGCCGGGAAAAGTGACACCGCTATGAAAACCTTTCACCATTCACCAGCTCCCATGGCCCATCTCTCTTCCCTGCCAGGGTGTGGATCCCGTTCTTGCAGATGAAAAAGGGCGCACCTTTTACCTGTCTCAGATGCACCCCTCCTCTGGACCCACCCATCCCTTGGTACCCATCCCAGGACATCACTGCAAACACTTCTCTCATTTTCTGATCATAAACTTTTTCAGCTCCACTGGGGCATATTCTCATCAACCCATAAACATCCTGTTCCTTCTGCTGTCTTCAACAAATAAACAACAATAACAACAAGAAAATCATAGAAATAACATGATTTACCGTGTGTTCCCTTGAACTACAATCCCATTTAGTTTTACCTTTAAAACGAAAAGAGTTGTCTTGATTTACCTTCTCTAGTTCATCTCTCCTGTTTCCTTTTAAACCTGCTCCCATCAGAGCATCATCCTACAACTGCCTGAAGCTCTTCCAAAGTCACAGTGGCCTCTCACTGCTGAGTCGAAGAGTCGGCTCACCAGCTACATCCTGAGCTTCAGCAGCACTGCCTGGCCCAGTCGGCTCCTCCTGCCCCCAGGAAAGCTCTTCACCTGGCTTTCTGGGCACCATGTTCCTCTGGTTTTGCCTCTAAGTCAGTGGTTGCTTTTCTTAGCGTCCTGTGTTGGCTTCTCTCATCTTCTCAACCATTCGGTACTGGAGTGACCCAAAGTTCAACTTCGAACATCTTCTCTTCTACTTCTTGGCTTGTTCTCCTGGTGACCTCATCTGTCTCCACTTGTTTAAATACCTTCAATCTGCTGACAACACCCAAATTTCCATCTCCAGCCCCAGTCTCACTCCCGAAATCCAGTTTTGTATGTTCATTGGCCTAGTAGATATTCTCCCTTGAATTTCTAAGAAACATCTACTTAGCATGAGCAAAGCTAAATCTCTGGTGTCCCACCCATGGGCCTTCATCTTCTGTGGTCTTCCCCATTTCACTGGTGACAACTCCATCTATCGAGTGAGTCAAGCCAAACAATAACTTTTGAATCCTCATTTTCTCATACAATATGTGGGCAACTCCTATTGGCTGTACTTCCAATATATATTTTGAAATTTCAATCACCGTCATTCTGGTTGAAGTCACTATTATTGGTCCAAGTCACAATGATCAATGATCTCCTGCCTGAATTATCCCGGAAGCCTCAGGAATAGGCCCATCCCCACACATCAGGTAGCTGACGTGATCTGTGAGAACACAAGTCAGATTAAGTCATTCTGCTTTTTCAATCCTTTCCTCTCCCTAAAGCTTGAGCTGTATAATGCCCTGCATCCCCGCTTTCTCTGTACCCTGTTGCATCTGTGCCATGTGATGCCCTGTAGCCCCGATCTCTCTGTACCTTTTTGCATCTGAGCCATGTGATGTCCTGCAGCCCCGATCTCCCTGTACTCTGTTACATCTGAGCCATGCAATGCTCTGAAATCCCCAGTCTCTCTATGCCCTGTTGCATCTGAGCCATGCAATGCCCTGAAGTCCCTAGTCTCTCTGTGCTCCTTGCATCTCTCACATCACATCTTAAGATGCCACCCTTTCTCCATCTGCCCTGGATTCTCTGGCCTTTTTGCTGTGTGCTCTTTGTACCTTTTGGCCACAGGATACCTCAGGGCCTTTACTTCTCTGTCCCTTCTGCTTAGGACTCATTCCTCAGGTGCCCTGTTGCCCTACCCCTTTCCTTCCAGTCTGATCAAATATTTCCTACTGAGGGAGACCCCACCCACCGTATGAAGCTAAAACACTTGCCAGCCCATCCCTTGCTCCCTTTGCCTGCCTTCTTTTCAGCAGTGCTTTCCAACCCTCATTTACTATGTCTTTTCTGTGCTTATTCTCTTCTCCCCATGAGTTTGTAAACTCATGTCTGTATATATTTCCATGTGCTCTCTTGAATTCCCTAACCCCAGATCCTAGAACAGAGACTGACACAGAATATTACTCAGTTAATATTTGCTGGGTGAATTCATTTCCGAGGAATCTGAAAGCATTCAGTGGTGAGAGGCTAGGACCAAAGGTCTCAAACACTGACAATGTCCAGGTACTACATTTACTGAAGGTTTTCCAATAGAATCACAGCATTGGTCTGGTCTCAGAGAAGGAAAATGGGCTACAGCTGAACTCTCGGCAGGAGAAAGGTCTTCTTACGGCCTCCTTCCTGCTCTCCAAGAGAAGTCACAGTAACTCGTCCGGGTGAGAGGCTGAAGTTTTCTTCTTTGCTGAGTTCAGCCGCAGGCTTCTATAATGAAAACCCCCGCAGTGGCCTGTCCCGGGTCCTGGACGTTTTCTGAGAATAGTCCCGTGCTTGGAAGGTGGAGTCAGGGCAGGGCACATCAGTCCTGCTGAGCTGCCACATTCATAATGCAGAGCCTTTGGCTTTCAGCCGGCGGTTGGCACTCGCCCCAGCTTGCTTGTCGGACGGTGCTGCCCATCTCTGGCTCAGGGACTTCTTTCACTCTCTTAATTTCCTAACCCATTTGTCACTTTTTGCCTGGGGCAACCCTGTCCCCCAAACAGAGTTTGAAATTGCTCTATAAATGAAATGTTAGCTTAGGCTCCCAGTGTTGGCTGCCAGGCTTATCACCCAACATTCTGTACACTTAAGATTTAGAAGTTTTTGCCACAAGGAAAGGCCATTTTGAGAAAGTTTTTTTTTTTAAACTCCTTGACATTTTAAGATCATTTTTTTTAAATTGCAGAAAATTTGATAAAAATAGCAGTCATTTTCACAAAGTGACGAAATGGGAACCTAAAATTAATTGAATGGAGAAGCAGTTCTCCCCATCTACTCCCCACACCCACACACACAGCGGAGATGCCAGCATGCCTTTCACAAGAGCTACTGCTAACCTTTGAGTCAAATGTTCTCGAACATGCTCACAGGTTCTTCTGCTCAACATTAACTTACCATTTGAAGAAAGTCACTGGGGACGAGGTCGGATAGACATTATTTTATTGGCAGTATGGGAGAGTAGGTAAGCATACAGTGGGGTCACTGGATTCCAACCCTGGCTTTTCCATTTGCTTGTACTTGAACTTTGGGCAAGCTGTGTGACATCCTCAAGCCTTTACCCAGTGGAGAATGGAAATAACATTACACACTTCATAAAGTGGTTGTGATACTTCAATGAAGTAAAACTTGCCTAGTGCCATTTTGAAGTACTTCCTCAATGGATAATTGTCTTTGACTCTTAGGTCTGGTTTTAAATAGCAGCTACCTTGAGCTCAGGTCTTGGTTTTGTGGAAAGGCTTCACTGAGACTGACAATCTTGTTGGGACTCTTGAGGCTACAATAATATCAAAGACATACCAATTAACTTCTGTTTGTTCAGTTGTTCACTCATCCTTCAAACATCAGGGAACTTCTATGTGCAAAGTCTTATGCTAGGTGCTACAGGGTTAGGACACATAACAGACTTGGGTTTTGCCCTCAAGAAGGATGTAACAGGTCCAGGAATACGGCATTCAGTAACTCAAGTTAAGAAGGGATTACATTTGCTGGGAAGATCAGGAAAGGTTTACAAAGGTGGTAGCATCTCAACTGGACCTTGAGAAAGGGCTGAACTTGGGAGATGTGACAGGGAAAGAGATTTCCAGTAGTGAAGATAGTGTTAGTACCTTAGTACGTTCACTTGCTTTAAAGTTTCAACAACATTTTTTTATTACAGTAAAATATACTCAACATGTAATTTACATGTCTTAATCATTTTTAATTGTACTACTTAGTAGCACTAAGTACAATACATTGTTGTGGAACTGTCATCACCATTTGTCTCTAGAACTCTTTTCAACATCCCCAACTGAAACTCTGGCAACCACTATTCTACTTTCTGTCCTTATGACTTTGACTACTCTAGGTACCTCATATACGTGTATTTATACAGTATTTGTGTTTTTGTAACTGACTTATTCTACTTAACATAATGTCTTCAAGGTAATCAGAATTTCTTTCGTTTTCATGGCTGAATAATATGAATAGACCACATTTGGTAAATCATTAATCCATCCACGGGCCATCATGCTATTTCTGTCACCTTTTGGCGATGGAATAATGTCCATCTCAACACAATTTTTGTGGTAATTCCTTTGTTTGATCTACTAGAACAGAACGTCCAGGAGGGCACGGGTGTTTGACAATTTTGCCCACCACTGTACTCCTAGAGCTCAGAATGGTGGCTGGCACACAGTAGGCACTTAATACATATTTATTGAAGGAACATTTGTTGAATAAATGGATTTCGCCCTTAAAATAATCCTGTAAGGCAGTTGGGGGAGGCATTATTTTGTCCTTAGTAGAGGAGAAAACACACTCAGCAAAGTTAAGAAGCTTGCTTGGGTCACGTGGCCAGCAGGTGTCCAAGGGGCCATGAAACCTTTGTGTCTGGGTCTCAGTTCCTCCCCGGTACACAGCAGGGGCTGCGTGGGGCAGCAGAACCAGTGGGGGCTCATTCATAAGCCCAGATGCTCTCCCCTGCTGGTTCTGTGACTTCCAACATGCTGCTTTACTTCTCTGAGATTTAACGTTTGCTCTATAAAATGCAGATTCTAATATAAATTTCTAGAATGTTTTGAGAAATAGTACAAGGTAAAGAATGTACCTGGTTTGTACGAAGCATTGATAAAATACGTTTACTTAGGGAAGGCAGTTATTTTTATTTCAGCATGGTGTAATTGAAGTAAAACCCAATAACTATTAGACAATCTACTTTTCTCACCAGCTATTTCATTATCCTGTGTGTCTCCTTGAACAGGTGAACTAGACCCTTGGAGCCTCAGTTTCCTCCTCTCTGAAACAGGAACAGACACGCTTCCCTTGCCTGACTCCTGGAGTCACTGTGGGAATAAAGTCAGAGCACCAGCTGCATCATCATGTGACACATCAAAACACGGAGGCCACTGTTCTTACTCAAGTCGTGGAAATGTAACTTATTTCCCACGCGATGGGGAACAAATATTAAAAGAAAGAAGATTCTTCTGTGTTGCCTGCTATTGTTTTCTTGTGATCTGGCAGCTCAGTAACTGGAATGAGAGCCCCAGGGTGAAGAAAAGCTACCAAGCTACCCAGTACCTTTCAAGCCCAGGCAGCTCATGTGTGGCCAGAACAATGTGCTGTTTGGGGAGGGAACACGAGGGCCTCCTTGCAGGACAAAAATTCCCCTGTGAATCCTACCCAGACGGAGTCTTCTTTATTAGGGCTGTTAAATAACAAAACCACCCTATCCCTTAACAGCAGCAACAACACAGCAACTGGGGAAGGTGACAGACTGACTGTGCTGCTTGGCTAGAGGGAAGGAAAGGGACATTAACCCTCTATGCTGCCTCCAGGAAGCCCCGTAGGAGCATCCAACAGAGAGCCCCTGGCTGCTCCACAGAGGAAGGGCAGAGGCTGTGGCGGGCAGGGAAGTTAGGGAGTCAGCAACAAAGCCCGGCTGAGAAGTCACATTTCTTACACTCCAAATTTCAGCCCTGTGAACATGGAATGTGTGGAATTGCTGTTTGCAGGAACGAAACAGAGCATTTTAAAAACACTTTTTATAGATTTCGGGGGTAAAGGTGCAGTTGTGGTACATGGATATATTGCATCGTGGTGAAGTTCGGGCTTTCACTGTAAGCATCACTGGAATAGTGTGTGTTGTACCATTCGCTGATTTCTCACCCCTCCGCCCTCCGTTCTGTGTCTCCAGCATCTTTTATTTCACTCTTGAGGTCCAGGTGTACACATTCTTCAGCTCCCACTTATGAGCAAGAACAAGAGGTGCTTGACTCTCTGTTCCTGTGTTGCTTCACTTAAGATGGTGGCCTCCAGTTCCATCCACGTTGCTGCAAAAGACATGACGATTTTATTCTTTTTTATGCCTGCGTAGTACTCCATGGTCTATGTACACCACATTTGCTTCATCTAATCAGCTCTGATGGATACTTAGCTTGGTTCCATGTTTTTGCCATTGTGAAGAGTGCTGTCTTAAATATACAAGTACGGGTGTCTTTTCCATATGATTTATTTCTTTTGGGTAGATACTTTGTAGCAGAATGGCTGGATCGAATGGTAGTTCTAGGTTTAGTTGTCTGAGAAACCTTCATACTGTTTTCTATAGCGGTTGGACTAATTTTACGTTCCCACCAACAATGCAAAAGTGTTCTCTTTTCTCTGTATTCCTGTCAACATCTGTTGTTTTTTGACATTTTAATAAGAGCTATTCTGACTAGTGTAAGATGCTATCTCATTGTGGTTTTAATTCACATTTCTCCAAAAAAAGAGGATTTATTAACAATTTTGGTTGCATCAGGATGCCACGGATTTGGTTTCATCAGGTACAAACGAGGAACAAAGGGGCATAAAGACCTGGCTCATACTCTGGTCAGTGGTGAGTGCAAAGCTGCTGGAGAAGTTTGGGCTAGCAGGCATGTTGCTCTCGGGTCCTCACTGGTTTTGTTTAGGCAGCGAGTCTCATGCCACCTATGAAACTTTATTTTTCTTTAACTACCAGGAATCCTGGAGGTACATCTACGTAAAGGAAGGAAATTATTCTGTAGGAAGAAATTTGCGTACTCTCCAGAGGATGGGGCATCTGCTAAAGGTTTTGAAGCATGGCCAGGAGTTCACTGGCCAGAGAAAGGGAGACAAGACTGGAAGAGAGACTCACAGATCCATGGAGCTCAGGGAGGGCAGGAGGCCTGCCTTTGGGGGAGGGTGTTAGAGGAAGTGGCAGGGGTCTAACCCAGACATCTCTACAAAGGACGGGATCATTTCTTGAAGTACCAATTTGCATTCTGTTTTGTTGTCGTAGAATCATGTAACACAATGAGAGCAACTTTTTTCTTCTCCCCCTACTTTGCACCTGTTTCTCATAAAGACAAATAAGTGCTTGAATCAAAAAGGCTTTGGACAAAATAGAATTTTAACTCCAGGGGAGGGCCTCTGTGTGTCCAGAATCTTGTCCCCTCACACCTCCCAAGGAGGAGGCTGGACTGCAGAGAGAACTGACACTGAGGAAGAGAAATTGAGGGAAACGAGACACTGGAGGTGGAGGGTGAGTCGTCCAGCGTCAGGCAAGCCCGGGGGCTGCAGCCAGGCAAAGGGGCAATGGAAAGGACAACCTGGCTCCAGGGGGGCAAGCAGGACTGGCGCTGGAGCACATTCACAGAGCCCACATCCTGGGGCCCACTGCTCTGTGAGGTGCTTAACCCCAGAGTCTTCACAAAATCTTGGGTTGTGACCAGGAGCCCCAATAATTAGTGAGATGACCATTTCTGTTAGCCTGGCAGCTGGGGACATGGTGCAGGTAACCTTTTCTTTAGTGAGAACTGCTCTGACTCCAGTGGCTTCCCCACAGTGCTAATACGTGGCTGAATACGTGCTGGGCATATGCTTCTAAGCACTTGAGGTGCATATTGGTCCACCCCATCCTCACAACAGCCCAAGATGGAGGTACTCTTACTGTCCCACTCTGCAGGAGAGCTCACATTATTTTTCCAAGGCCACATAGCTTCTAGGCAGCAGAACTGAGATTTGAAATCAGGCAGTTTGGCTCAGAGTTCAACCTGTAAACTCCAGTCTCAAAAAATAAATAAGGAAAGAAAACTCTGGGCCTTTCCTTTCAATTCGTACTCTGCGTGTTCTAAAGTGCCTGGTACTCATGTAGGCAATGGGCAGCTACAGAAGGATTTTAAGTAGGAGAGTGACAGGATCAAGTGTGTGATGGACAAAGCAGAGAGAGGAAGAACTAGCAAACACAGTGCAAGTTGTTGCCAGATTCGATACAGAGAAGATGTCAGCTTGACATTGGCAGAAGGGATGTAGAGGAGAGGAGAAAACATTCATGAGAACTTTCAAAGGTAGAAATCACTACACCGTAGAGGGAGATGTACTGATGTCAAGTAATCGCATTCATTTATATGAGATTTTGAGTGCACTTAAAATATGGCTGAGAAGGGTTTTAATGGGAGGCCTTGCAGAGTGCATAGTGTTCTGTTCCCCACGTATGTCCCTACAGAAGAAGAGAAAGAAACCAGAAGTGTTTGCTGCCTTCTAAGAGTCTATCCCCCGCTACAGAGGCACCATGATCAAACCACCCATTAACTTTTATGGCTCCTCACTCCTTGTTTCTGTTTCACTGTGTGTTTAACTGGCTGGTGTGGGAAGGGTTGGGGCTAGGCACCACATACGAAGGAGATATGATTCTGGCTGCCTAGTTTTTTTCAGGTGAACTGTGAGGGAGGAGACAAAAATATTTCAGCTAAAGTCTTATTTTAGTTGAGTGATTTATTTTTAGTGAATTATAAGATTTTACAAGTTTTAGGACTCCATTTCATTTACATTTATATTGATAATTTATTCATCTACCCATTCATCCATCCACCCAACCATGGATTTATGTGTCAAGCATTTACTGGGTACCTGCTCTGTGCAGGCTATTGCTTGTGGCATGAGTGAGGATCTCTAAGACATCATTGACCACAACACAGGAGAGACAGATGCTTTCCAAAATCAGTGTTGGGGTGTGGAGGGGGTGGGGCTAACTGCCTTCCAAAATCAGGGGCAGGGAGGTTAACTGAGATGGAGTCAGCGTCTGGGCTCAGCTACTGCTTTTCCCCATTAACTAGCTGTGTGAACTCAGAGCCTTCAACCTCAGACTCAATTTCCTTACCTAGGAAATGAGAATATTGTTTTCAACCTCACTATGAACTTGTCAAAGTTCTAGGGTTGTCCATATACACAGACACCAGAAATTATAGCTTCCAGCTTTGGCAAAGACCCACCCTGCTCAGAAGCCACCACTGGGTTCTTTTTCTGTCTTATTTTGATTAGTTGTTTAACAACTCTGTAGCTCCTCCCGCACAGCTGTACACTGGGCAGGGCACTTACCCATGAAGCATTTGTTAAACAGCAGCTTGAAGCATCAACCTTGTGCCTGCCACCTTGGAGCCCTGGCGATCAAAGACAAAGGAGGCAGCGGCCTCCGTGCACAGGACCAGAGTGAACGTCAGTGCTAGCCTGGCAACACGTGCAGACAGAGCCTGTTTAATGCGCTCGGAAAAATGCAGGATCTTCTGGTCTCCGCCTCCCTGAATTACCTGTTTGGGCTTCTCTTGCTGCTGGGCTTGGGCCCGGGTCTGCTCTGGGCACCTGCTCCATTGGCGGTGGTGTCGCTGCCATGGGAAGCCGCTCTCAGTGATGGCTGTTTGTTCCTTCTTGCCTTGTGGGTTGCCATCAGTACACCTTGCAGAAAGAGTCATAATTGGCTTGGAGCAGCTTGATGAAAGTCAGTCTCACGGTTCTCATCACACACACAGAATCAATCACTGCTCTCTTTCAAGGCGGACTCCACCCGACTTATTAGCACAGTGTGGGAAAGGCATGGACGGCGCTTCCTGGGAAAGCATGTGAAGTTTATGTGCCTTCAGTGAAAGGGCTCCATAAAAACACAAGCTTAAGCAGCATGTACCAGAGGATCCTGTCTCCATTCAGCAAGGCTGTAAAATGTGGATACAAGAGAACACAGCTCTGTCAGCCTGAATCTGGCAATCATTTATATTTACAGTACCATATCTCTTCCTTTCTTTCATCCTCGACTTAACTGTGTTTTCTTTTGGCTCTCAAAAGTAACTTTTAAGCCTTGAAATTAGAAATGGAAAGACCAGGAAAAAGATTGAAGAGACAACTAAAATCTTTTACAGCAAACTATAAAAAGACCATACAAAGCCTATATCCGTGACTTTTAAAGAAAATGTATTAACGGGTTTTAGGAGAAGAATCTGATTGAGATGTAACATCTTGTATTTGAAGATGTTCTAGGATGAGAAAGCCCAGACAGAAAATAAAAATCTTTTCATCCCAATCAATCACTCTAGAAATGAAAATGCTGAATAATTTATATTAAGGACTCTTACTTTTACTTGCTAAAATGATTTAACCTTCCTCCTCCAAAGGATAGAGGCAATTTATGTGAAGTTGGCAAAGGTAAAAATTAACATAATGTTAAGATTTTATTTTTAATAACCTGCCACACATATTCCCTTGGATCTGGCTCTGGTTGTGAGAGATTTGGCCAAAGTTGGCAGGGAAA